GTTTGCAGGGAGGAAATAAAACAAAAGTCAATTTGGTGGCCACAAGCATGTGATCAAAGCCCCATTTTTTAATGTGTGTCACAAAAAAAAATAAAATAAAGACAAGCCTGGGACAAACACCCCCTCCCCCAAAAAATAGTGTATTCTGAAGGTTTCTCTTTTGGATTCTGCTTGTTCAGTCCTGGGCTGAAAATTCCTTCTCCAAACTATCCCTTAATACAGACAGTTTCTCCAGCCAACACAGCACCAATACAATTTATAACAGCATCCAATAACTTTCTCCATTGCCCACAGATCTGCCTTCTTATATATTTTCATTACAAGGCAGATGCGCCTCTTCTCAGTGTTATACACCGGGAAAGGAGTAGGAGAAAGAACAAAGAAGGAAGAAGATTTAACCTTCAGATGATTTTACAGCCTACTTCCAGATATGGCATCTCACCCTGCCACAAGCTGAAAAAAAGCAATTTCAATTTTCATCAATATAACTTCTAAATCACTGAAACAATGTAATTGTTCTGCTTTCTTCCACACTGATCATATGTCCAGCTCTGGGCATTATGCTCAAAGCATATCTTTGCTATCGTCTTATTAGTGTCACTGCATTTTGCATTCACATAATTATCTCAAAGCAGTTTTTAAGAAGATACTATTGCTGTTTGACATGATAACACAGCAACTTTAGGAAGGATGAATAGGCTCTGATGTTCATGAGCTGGATTGTTAATGCGTTCGATTGCCAGGACAAATTGAAGGAACACTCCTTTCATTGTGAAGGAGCCATAGTTGTACAAGAACACATTTTGTCATTCTTCCTTTGTTGGTCTATTGATTTGCTCAGTCTCAATACTTTTCAGAAATGAATCCTTGGAGGTCTTCTAATCCAATCCTCTGCTCAAACAGGAAACCTTACGCACATTTCAGATAAATGGTTGTCCAATCTCTTCTTTAAAATCTTCAAAGTTGGAGCGCTCACAACTTCTGGAGGCAAGTCGTTCCACTGATTAATTGTTCTGTCAGGAAATTTCTTCTTAGTCCTAGGTTGGTTTTGTTCTTGATTAGTTTCCATTCTTATTCTGCCTTCAGGTGCTTTGGAGAATAGGTTGACCCCTCTTTTTTGTGGCAGCCCTTTAGATATTGGAACACTGCTATCATGTCATTCCTAGTCCTTCTTTTCATTAAACTAGACCAGGAGACAGCAACCTGCGGCTCTAGAGCCGCATGTGGCTCTTTCACCCCTCTGCTGTGGCTCCTTGTCACTCAAAATATGCGTCACAACCGCCAATGTGCGACATCTGCCGGCACACAATTTATTGAGCTTTTCAACCCCGGGTAGGCCAACCATGGATAAATCCAAGAAAAGAAAAGTTTCAGAAGAAAACAGAACATTTAATTCAACTACATATGCTAGTTTTGTGGCCGCTCAAGAAATAGTCAGGCACGGGAAGGGTTTTGTGGCTCCCGGTGTTTTCTTTTCTGTGGGAAACGGGTCCAAATGGCTCTTTGAGTGTTTAAGGTTGCAGGCTCCTGAACCAGACATACCCAATTCCTGCCACTATTCTTTATATGTTTCATTCTCCAGTCCCCTAATCATATTTGCTTCCCTACTTTGAACACTTTCTAGAGTCTCAACATTTTTATTTCATGATGGCCAAAGCTGGATGCAATATTCTAAGTGTGGTCCTACCAAGGCATTATAAAGTAGTATTAGCACTTCACATATCCCTCTATTAATGCAGCCTAGGATGGTGTTTCAGCAGCTTTTTCGGCAGCTGCAGCATACTGCTGGATTATATTTAAGAGACTGTCCACTAGGATTCAAAGATCTCTCTCGCAGTTACTACTATTGAGCAAGGTACCACCTATTCTAGTGCTGACAACATCAAATACCATTTTCTTTCTCTCTCTTTCTTTCTCTCTCTCTCATCTCTCTATCTATTTACACACACACAGAAGGAGAGAAGGAGGGAGGGAGGGAGGGAGGGAGGGAGAGGGAGAGAGAGAGAGAGAGAGAGAGAGAGAGAGAGAGAGAGGGAGAGGGAGAGAGGGAGAGGGCAACCTGTTATGGGTAAGAAAGGAGGAGAACATCCTGATGGTAGGAAAAGCTGCAGCAAAGTTTGCTTGCTGGTTTCTGTAAAATTTAAACACAAAAGTGTAAATGATTTCCCGACAAGGCAAGGCAACTTGGAACTGCAAAAATACCTGAAGAATTTTAGGTAATAAAAATTGCAAGAATTTTCATCCCTGTAAATCAAAAGGAGCCTGCTAAATCTCTTGTTCTGCTTTAAATCCTATTTCCCACCATCATCTTTCATTTGTTTAACCAGTGCTCATTTTTCTTTATCAAACTGTCTCCTCAATCTGATTTGCATCAGCCTCTCCCTCCAATACACTCATGTGTATAATAATTTCATATATATAGGTATTTATTTACATACCTAATAGCTACGATAGCTATTATTATTATCATTCAAGTACAAATTCAAAACATCTATGTTTAGTGTGATTAGTGTGCCTGCTTCATTTGATTCAGGCATTAACTGTTGCTGATGGAAGAATTTTAATTCTTCCCACATCACATCCTGCTTCTGCTAAGATGATGCAGACACCACAAAATATTTGAAGTCTATCATAAAACCACCCATGCCAACCAAGTGCCTCACTATCAAAGTAACAACCCAACCTCCCACAAGAGAAGCTGTGTAATAACTCTATTTAGATGAACACAAACACACCACAGCAAACCCTGAACATCAGGGGAAAAAAATAGATCATCTATACAACATCTTCCAAAAAATGAATATCCACACAACTTCATCAAAAAGTGCCTGACTACTCAACCCAATATAGCACAATAAACAGAAGCTGTGACAAGGATAATGTTCTTACCCAGTCTTCACAAGTAGTGGTAAAATGTTTACTTGCAAGTAAAACAACCCCTTTTTATAACAGGGCAGTAACAATCTTTTATCCAAAGGGATAAACAAAAAATCAAACGTAATTAGTCCCAATAAAACTGGGTTTATCCAAGAAATCCGAGTTGCTTGCTGTATACCAAAAACAAACAGTTGTCTGTGAAAACTGGCCACTCCCAAACCCTATTTATTTCTCAGCCAGGGAGGGGCTGACTATCATCTGCATCTGCCTCTACCCGAGAGCCGGTTTACTGCTTTCCTTTGCTCTCCTCTCTTTTCCTCTCTGCACACACGTGCATTTGGGATGGGCCCCATCTGTTCCTCTCCCTCACTCAGATCAGGCCCCGAAGATAGCTGTCTCTCCTCCTGGGGGATGTCCCGCTCTGCCTCTGCCTCTGCTGCTGTTTCCTTATCAGAGCCTTCCAAAGCTGGCTAGGGTATCCCTCCACCTCTTCCTCCTCTGACTCTGCAGCTATCTCTGCTGACAGCCAACAGGCCACAACAGATAATACTACCATCCATCAAAAACATCAACATCTCAAAAACCATCAATAGGCTATTACAACAATATGGCATCACTGTAGCACACAAACCAACTAAAGCCATCCAAAACATCCTAAGTCAACCGAAAGATCCAGCAGGCACCCAGAATAAAAAACAAGAATCATCTACAACATACAGTGTAAGGACCCTAATAGCTACTATATAGGACAGACAGGCAAAAGTCTAGTAGAGCGCATCTATGAATACTAAAATAGTAGTCAGAAGACATGATGATACCCCTTAATTTCACAACACGTAAATAGACTTAACCATAGTTTAAACTGAGAAACTGTGAGCATCCTAAACCAAATCAAATCCAAAAATGTAGAGAATTCTGAAAGCCTGACATTCAGGCCATAAATAGGCACACAGAGATAAACAACATCTACATACCATGTCAATCAAAAAGCCAAAAAGGAAACAAAAAGACCAACTTACATCTTCACCAGCAATCAACACCCAGAGATTAACACCAAGATTAACATTAGATCAATAATCAAGAAGCAAATCAAGGAACTACCAATTCAGACAAAAACAAGCTAACAGTAAACAACAATCCAAAGAACTACCATACAGGATGTAACTGGACTAGTTATTTGTGAGAACAGCTGACTGTCAGTTTGCTCCCCCCCCCCCAAGATCGGGAAAGTCTAGTAGCTGTTATTTTGTCAAATCTCTTTGCAAGTCCCGTTCTAACCTTTCAAGATTGTTGGAAATGGAGGGGGGATTAATTTTACTTACAGATCTCTTGCTAGCAAAGTGATCTTCAATTCTTGGTTATTTTGCAGTTTTCACTGGTGGGAGAGATCTCGGGCTGTTCCATGGCGTTTCTTTCTTTTTCCTATGCCTTATTAGTTTCTGGCAAAAACAAAAATCTTTTGTCGGCTGTTATCTTCTCCGAAAAATATTAGTTAAATAAAAAAGGATCCAATGGGAGTACTAAAAATTGATAAAATAAAATAAAACCAAGAAGTGCTCCTGCAAACACGCTCCCCAAAGAACTACCAAGGTCATTCCCACCAATACTGACAAGGCAAGCCACCAGTATATAAAAACCCACTCTCTATTAGCATTGATAATGTTACCTAGTTTGGTAATGAAATGTGTGCAAGAAAACAATCAAGCTTAGAGAGCACCAAGGATTCCACACTAAAATACTTTTTGTAAATGTTTCCACATCTCTTTAAAAAGCAAGAAAGATTATGGTTTTCCAACATAGTTAAAAATAAAAACTATTTATATCCCACCTTTATTATTTTTATCAATAACTCAGGATGGTGTACATATCTAATATATCTTCCTCCACAACAACAACCCTGTGCAGTGGGTTGGGTTGAGAGAGAATGACCGGCTTAACGTCACTCAGCTGGCTTTCATGCCTGTGGCACAGGAATGGGTTCTAAATTTTTTTACTACCAGTTCTGTGGGCGTGGCTTATTTTGTGGGCATGGCTTGATGGTCATGTGACAATTCTTTAGGATTTAGCAGAGGTACTGATCTACCAGGCTTTTAACTGCTTGCAGAGCTGTACTGGTCTACTCATTTGTTTTTGGAGGCACTGGTCTACCCATTTATTTTTGCAGGCACCGGTCTACTCATTTGTTTTTGGAGGCACTGGTCTACCACCACACTGCCTTTTAACACTGATCAGCTGTAGGGCGGCCCTTTGAAATCCCATGGCAAGAGTTTAAACAGTTTTTTTCCTTCTAGCCGATCAGCTGGGATTCAGGAGGCAGCAATAGATTGGAGGTGGCCCAAATAAAAGGTAAGAATAACGCGGGGGAGGGGGGGGGGCAGGGGGCAGAACCAGTTCGGTCACATCATATCGTCACCGATACCGGCTCGGTGGAACCGGGCCGAACTGGGAGGAATCCACCACTGCTATGGCAGAATTAGAACCCACAGCCTCTAATGCCTTAAGCACTAGACCAAATGGGTCTCTAACTAAAAAGGCAAAAGATGCCATTAAAAAAAAAATTGAACTGACTGCAGCAGGCTGGTTTTTTAAAATTATTTATTAAATTTATATGCCACCCATCTTGCCAAGATGTGAATCTGATCTTACAATCAAGTAAAAACAAGATAAAACATTAAATATTAAAATAAATATTAAAAGTAAAATTCACTTAAAATTAACAATGATGGCAAGGAAGGGAGCAAGATGGACACGGAGTGGAAGCAGAATCTTATCTCAGTCCATTAACTACCTCCAATATGTCTTCTCCCATTCAGGTGCCAAGCCAGTTGGCAGAACCAGGGTTTCAAGCCATTTTGGAAGACCTAAAAGGTGGATGCAGATCTCATCCCAGGGGCATGATATTCCAGAGGGCAGGAGCCACCTTACCTAAGAAGATAAGGTCCTCCTTGAGTCAAGCTTATTTCATTTTATTGGCAGCAGTTCTCGATTTCTTTCTAGATGTTCCTACAGCCTTTCTAGATCTAGCCTACAGCCCTTACTGGCAGTCTCTTATTGAACTCTGCATCTGTTTAGCTTTGTGATGTCAGTCAATTTTTGGCAAGATGCTGTCACTTGCTGTAATATGTCCGCAGTTGTAGAAACATGTAAATGTGAACAAGATTATAGTCTTTGAATAACCTATAATAAATAGAAGTTAGTCAGAGGTGTTATTTGACTGATTTGGTCCAGTCCATGAAAACTAGTTGTTAAATTGTCACACATATTACAGCTATGCCAAAATTTCACAGTTTTTCTGCTTTGCCCAGACAAGCTAACTTATCCAGGCAAAGTAGAGAGGAAAATGCAGAGCACATCTGACAAGGATTGGAGGTTTTATGTGCACAAAGTCACAGCCCAGACAGAACCAATCTACCCAATTTTCCAGAGACATAGCTTGTCCAGGCAGTGATATTATATTAATTCTAATTGTATTGAAAATACAACCCAACAAATAAAATCTAACAAATAACTTCTATTGATTTATTTTAAAAATCATTTTTTTTAAATTTAAAAACTCAGTGTGCATAATTGTGATTTATTGATTAAAAAGTTCGCCAAGCAAAGCAACCCGATCAAATTTTTTGAACTTTGCATTATCAAAAATTGCCACTGCACTCAAAGGAAATTCTTTATATGGAAGATTTCTTTTGTCAATCCTATAGTTCCAAACTAAAGATGGCTACTGAACTGTAAATAAGTTGGGTTGTTTAAGAGACATATGTGCTGTTCACTCACTTGCTATTTCTCTACTTGTGTTTTTGCATGCTTCGAACAGCTGGATTGGCAGGAGCTGGAGTGAATGACAGGCGCTTGCCCTGTCATGCAGCTGCACTCGGATCTCAAATGCAGGCTTGCTGATTGTTAAGTGAGCCACTGCGTTCCATATGTGCTGTTAATATAATAGGAAAGGTCACACCTATTTGTACAGGTTTGTAGCACTGCAAGGTTTGAGAATTCCTGCCTTACTGCTGCTGTTATGACTCACTCTATTTCTGATCTTTGTTGAAATAAGACAGCCTTTAAAGGAGGTGTAGGTATATCCTGTTCATTAAATACTTTGATATTTCCCATGCTAAAAGGCTGACATGATGAATTACTGTCAGAACCAATTGTTACCTTATTTAAATAATACCTCTGAGGTTAGTTTGATCAACTGTAATCTTGGAAGGATTAAGGTTTGCATTCTCAAATGCAAAAGAAATTTACATTTACATTTACATTTACATTTACCAGAACAAAAAGTTGAAAATTACTCATCCCTGGTGGTTGCTTTTAAATCTATGTTTTTTAACAACAATGTAATAGAAGAAGATAAAGATGGGCCATTACTAATATAACATCAAAATGCCCTCAACACCGCAAAGCTTTGTTTTATATGTAGTTTTACACTGAAGAATTTAGAAAGACTTGGCAACAATCTGAAAAGCTTAAGGACATTCCCACCCCAAAACAGTTACAGCAGGGGCGGGTTTCAAAACCTGTTGCTAATGGTTCACTCGTGGGCACTTGCACGCTTGCGACACTTCTGCGCAAGGTGGGTGGGTGGAGCCTCTTGCCGCCACTGTTACCAGTTCGCCCAATCTGGGGTGAACCGGTAGCAACCCACCACTGAGTGAGAAACAGCTAGGATAAAATATTCAGACTGCAGCTGGTCTTGCTGAGCTAGGGCAGTGATGGCAAACCTTTTTGCCATTGTGTGCCAAAAGTGGGGAGAGCGGGGGGAGGGGTATTGTGCGCGTGCATGCCCACACCCATAATTGTTTGCGCCCCGCCCCCCGCGCTCCCCTGCTTTTGGCACATGATGGCCCGGTGAGCCCGGTAGGCCTGTTTTTCGCCCTCCCCTTTCTAGGAACCTGAGTAGGGCGAAAATGGCTTTCCTCCCCGCCCTGGAGGCCTCCGGGGGCAGGAAGCAGTCTGTTTCCCTACTTTCAGTGAGCCCAGAAGGCCCAAAAACCAGCTAGCCTGACCTGAGCTCGCGTGCCCACTGATATGGCTCCACGTGCCACCTGTGGCACGCGTGCCATAGGTTCGCCATCACGGAGTTAGGGCATTAAGATCTTTCTGGGAGGTAAAAAAATCAAGATGTCTTCCATGATTGCAAAATCCCATCCCTTTTAAAATATGTGTTGTGTATGCGGGACATGTTAAAAAGGGGCAAGACTTTGGATGTGCAGTCATGACATCATCATGACTTTTTTTGTTTCTCATTACAAATGCACCTTACCCTCCAGAACCTGCTTTAAGCTAGAGCATTGCTTTGTTTAATGAATGATATCCCAGACAGGATACTTCTTACAAACTAATTTACTTACAAACTAGTCAGACACACTTTTGTATAACTGTGAACTCTCCTGCCCTTCTATTTTCTAAGAATCACCTATGTGGGTTCAGAAACATTTGTGAAAATAACCAACTGTTGTGTGGAAGTTTGTAGTTTCCAGCATGCAAACTTCCCATGTACTATTTATTGTGATTAAAATAATCCCCAAACCCTGAGAGTTTCAGAACTACCTTTCTTGTTTCCCTTCTCATAACAGCCAATCACAACTTCTGGTAACAGCCCATCACAACCGCTTTGTTAATAAGCCAATTTGCATCCACACAAAATGCTCCCTGAATTCCCGGGGTGGCCACTGGCTGAACAGGGTGCCTTATTCCAAATATACGCCAATTGGATTCACAGACCACACTTGACTTATTTTAATCATGGCTTACTAAATAAATAAATTGGCTGGGTTTCATACATGGCATTAAAGTACTATAGAGTTTCACTGGGTTTGGTTTGACATGCATGGACTAGCAACTGCTCTTCAGAGGTCCCAGCAAGAATCTTCCTTAAGACTTCTGAATGAATCTTGTGACTTACCATGCAATGAATGTGTGCTAATCTTTGGCCTTTTTGCAATAGTCTTTCCTGTGTCTAAGACAGGATTTCGAAAAATTCTGGTCTTAAGCCATTCAGAGTTATAAAGTTAATTCCAAATCCTTGGACTGAGCCTGAAATCAAGGTTTGTGCCACCACAGTGGGACCTGGCAAGATGCATTCTGCGTCTTTTAAGTCCTGGTTACTTTTTGAGTTCAGCCTGACCTCTAGTAATTTTATGAGTATATCCATGTACCTTTCTTGGCAAAGTCAGGCTTGATTTGCCACTGCCGTCTACTGAGGTATATTTTAATCTCCCTGATCTAATCAACAGCATTGGTATTTCCTGGATGCCTCCCTTTCAAGTATTAACCACCTCCAGCCTGATTCAATTTCCAGCCCAAACAAGGACACCCAAGAGTTGCCTCCGGCTGAAATATCTATACTGTTTTCATATTTACCTGTACATTTAAAGAGAATAAACCACAATAATTGAAACATAAGGTTTGGCTCCATCTCTTATCCGCTGGAAATAGTAGCACTTAAACTCTTTAATTTTTCCTGAACGCTAGTAAACAATTTTTCCTAGCAAGTTTCACTTCATTGGCAATAATAGGATTGTCACTCAAAGTTCTACCAACAATGATACCTATCTTTTCTCAAATTGCTTTTGGTTCCTTCTCTTTCAAGCTGTTTTGGGATGGAAAACTCTTGCATTCATTTTTTTCCTCTAATAATTTTAACCATCTGAATGCAGACCCCAGTATGAACATGTGAATACTGTAGATACAAATAGTAGGTAGATAGAAATAATATTTGCACTTCTAATGTGCATTTATCCAATGTGCTTTCAGGAGTAAATGAATTGCTGAGAAAGGGAGGAATAAAAGGTAAGATGCAATCCTAACACATTCTCATTGTAAGGTAGGAAGAGTTTTTTTTTTAAAAAAAGAAGATATCCTTACCAGATGATCTGGAAATACCACTGAAGTTTGAAATGTTTATAAAGGTTTGTAAATGTTTATAAAGGTTGTGCCAAAGGGTGATGATAGATTCTTTTTGTTCATATCTATACTTATACAGGATTTGCTCACATGGTTTGAAATGCCTCTTTACTTTGCTTGTTACTCAGCTAACTAGCAGTATAGGCTGAGTTTTAAACCCTTTTTTGCTACAGTGTAAAGGTGTAGCTTTGTGTTGCATTGTTGTTAATCCATCACTTCTCTTCTTTGATGGAGAAATGAAAGTACTTAACCTACCCTCCAAATGGGCTAATTTATGTTGTCCACAATCAAAATGTTGTAACTATAGCCGCTTTTAAGCAGGTTGCAGGGTTCAGGAGCTGTATAAGGACACATTTAAAGGTACCAGGATAAGCAATTCTGACCTTGCGAAATTGAAAATTATAAATCAATCTCCATTCCCATCCCACTCTGGAGCCAGCCAGAGGTGGCATTTGCCGGTTCTCTGAACTACTCAAAATTTCCGCTACCGGTTGTCCAGAACCTGCTGGATTTCACCCCTGATTCAGCAGATCATTAAGGCCTTCCAGATGCTTCTCAGAAAATCAGGGTTCGTCACAGGTGAGCAGGATCAACTGTTCTGCTCTTCTAAGCATGCTCTTCCCCTAATGCATCATCTCAGTTGCCCTAAGACTGTTACTGAACACTGTTGTTTTTGGCAAAACCAAGTGTTTGGCAAGTCAGGCTTACAAAAATGTATGCAACTGGTTTGGCTGGTTACGTCTAGGTCAGTTAAACTCCTTTCTTTCCAGAATGAAACTCTTCTTTCATTCCAGTCTTGACTGCTTCAGAATTTGTAAACAGCAGAAGTGGATAAATCAAGAGTTGCATGAATACACTTACCTTAGGAGACAAAAAAAAATTCCCCATCTGTTAAAACAAAATGGATCTTCATTTTTTCTCTCCAGGACATTATTATTGCACCAATCATATTTAATTATTATTATTTACTGATAGCGTAATAAGCTGGAACCCTTTTCCTCACAAATGAGTGGAAGAAGAAGTCCTGTTGTATTCTTTATTGGTGATCATGTGGATGTTATCACACTTGGTTATGTGCTGAACTTTGCAGGTGTTCCTTTCAAAGCTTGGATGATGTATAAGTAGCCACTCTGGGTAGGAAAATAGGTGTGTCAGTTGAAAATGTCAGAACCTGAACTATAGAGCAATTAAGTTAAAAGGTGTGGTAGTTAAGCCAAGGTTGCCCAACTTGTAGTCCCTTAGAACCTCTCCTAAAGTTGCCATCAAAATGTATGCCATAATGAGATAGAAAAGTGACATTATGAAATAACTGGGGGTAATCATATTCTATTAATTTAAATCATTTTATTTTGACTTGGCTGGCATAGTATTTCTCAGCATGTAGTTGAAAGGAAATGATTGACCTGAAAAAGATTCCATGTCCCTTTGCACTAGGTTGTAGTGCCTTTCTACTTTTTCTAACACTTTCGCACATGCAGTCATTGAAAAAGAGTCTGAGTTTTAGAAAGACAACACCACATAGAAATTATGTTCAGAACAAGGCCAGACTATAACAAGAAAAATGGATAGCAGGTGGATCAAGACAGCCATGGAATGGATCCATCTTGATTTAGGTCTCTTTTGTAGATGCTTTTTATCAAATGGATCCCATCATCAGCAAGTATTGTGGGCCCAATTGGCAAAAGAAAGCTCAGGACCATATTGGTTGGAAACATGCAGAAGAGGCCTTCATCCTGCAGTGGATAGACAATAGCTAAAATGATGATGATGATGACCACTATCAGCTTCTTCTATTCTCATAGGGCCCTTGGTATGTGTGTGTGTAAAAAATGTCAAGAAGTACACATTTATGACCGAAAACCTGGTCTTTTTTTTCCACCTCCAAAAAAGGATGGAGCTTCAATCATTTGGTATGCTACCTTGCTGACATTTTTACTTCTCTGTAGACATCCCACATCTTCCCACAAGT